CATTTCTCTTGAAAACCGCACATGTTTTAATTATATTGGGACCTCATCATAAAGGACATTAAGGAGGTCTCATGTTCGTTGAAATGTGTGATTTTGGGAAAATTTAAAAAAGAATTTAAAAAATCGGCGTCTTCCTACAACTTTAATTGCGAATATACGATTTTTCACGGATCTTCAAATAAGGTCATGTGAAATTGTTTGAAAATATGAGTATTTTTGTGAATTTTCGCGACAAACATATAAAGCCCGCTCCGAATTTACTGCGCGCCGTGAACGTAATTCCAGACAGTTGGATGCTTCGTAAGTTATTACGTGTATATTATTTCATATTTCTTTGTTCGTTTCTTACATTCGACCTTTGTTACACATGTATGCGATAATCTTTTAGAAATAATTTAAAACCTATTTGAAGTAAAAATTGCTAGCCTTCGGGGAATATCAGATTGGAATGCAACAATGGCTCGATAGCAATGACTCTAGAGTTAATTTTTGTGAATTAAGTCTTGTTATCGGGACATGATTTACCTGTATGAAAAGCAATTATAACTGTTGATATTTGCTTTAAAAATATTTCGCATTTCAATCAAATGTTGAAGGATTTGTAATGAGCAGGGTTGGGCAGTTTTTAAATACTTGTCTTTAAAATACGTATTTTAAGCTCATTTTGTATTAAAAAAAACTGTATTTTTGATTTTTGGGCTTTTTAGAGATGTACCTAAGTACATAAAGTAGAAGTATTTAAACAACGAAATACTTCAAATACAGACGAAGAAGAATATGGTTTAGAACAAGGATCATTTCTTTTTGTTTGATTCTACAAGTGAATGCGCTTCATTAAAAATAAAGCTTTAGCTGTTGAATTTGGATTCTCTTCATTTTTAAATGATACATCTAAATCATTAAAAATGCTGGAATGCTGCATTACAAATCCGGCAATAAGAAATCCTTTTTTTCATTATAACTAGGGGATAGATTTTAGTAAAATGTCATGTTTTTCTTTTCACTTTAGAACAAGACCGTCTAGTATATCGACGAATCGCCTTACGAGATTAAGTCGTTCATCTGAAGTAGTTTTGATCCCATTTTTTACGTAATTTTTCTTTGTTTTTAGGGTATTTTTAAAACATTTTAAAGGCATTTTATTGATAGCTTTGGACTATGTTTTAGGTCATCAAAATCTGCCCCCTAGTTATAACCCTAGTTTATGTCATGTCACGCCATTTGAATGACTGTTTTCCTTTGCAAGTTTTATAGATTCGCTAATTTCGGGTTTATTATCTGATGATTTGTTTGAAAAAATAGTCGTTTTAAAAGGAAATTCCATTTCTTTGTGTTAGATATATTTTTGATATCATTTTGTATCTGAAAAGTTGTTGTTCAGAAATTTGCATGACTGTCAATGACTAATTTACTGTAATTGACAATTACAATATATTGTTGCAATAAAACATATATAATACAAAATTATTGTATGTTTACAGTATTTTGAGTATATGAAGTATTTTAAATATATATGTATTTAGCACATAAGTCTTAATGTATTTTGTGAATGCATTTAAATACTTATTTACAAAAGTATTTTAGCGAAGTTTTTTAAGTATTAACGTTAAAGCATTTTGTCCAAGACTGATAATGAGTTTTACAAAAACTGACTCAGATGTGTTAATTCCGAGATAAATTGTGGTATAAATGGTATCACAGAACTATTACTAAAGCTGAGGAAGTACGTGCTGTTTTAACACCACTAGTTTAGAAAATATTTTTAAAGAAAAAATATAATCAACAGCAGATACCAAAGCATCACAAACAGAAATTACACAAAAAACTGTCTTTTTTTAAAAAAAAATGTACCTGACCCTTTTACTTTCTCGCGCTTACTTCTAAAGAAGAGAAAGTTGCCCTACATGTATGTAAACGTGCGCCTGCGAACGGCAAATTTTCGACTGAAAAACTCTTATTGCTGGGCCCTGGCAACGAAAAAGGTGATCAATCCTGTTGCTACAAACAGAATGAGTCACATATCTTCGGAGAGTCCCGCAGTTTTTGAACAGTTAAAGTTATAGCTATGCAATCGATCTGGCCTCACTCAAAGCTTTGCGATTTGGGGGGAAAAAAAATTAATTTTTGGAAGTACTTAACATGAAACTTGTGCGACATTTTCAAAAATTTCACAAAAATTACTTAATTTTTTTGCTTTAAATTTCAGGGAAGCATAGAGTCAAATACACTTATGAATGTGGCACAGGTCCGATTTTTACTGTTCACTATGAATTTTCGAAAATTGCAAAAGTTTGAAATTTTTTCAGCGTCTTCCTACAAAATTGAAGATAATTTTTCCTCCATATGAAGTTTGTTCTTCATCATTTGTTCATTCTGTAAGGTCAGGTACATGTTTTTGAGGATTTTATTAATTATTAATTTATTGATTTTATTAATTAATTTATCGATTATGTACTTAATTGAATTGGAATATCCATGTTGGAAAGAGATGGCTGGATCCTTGCGCATCAGATTTTAGCCAATGAGCTTCAGGCACCAGTTTGCCTCATAATGTTTACGGGAATATTAAATGACAAAATTATCACAGTTACAAGTCACTGAAACAGATAAGCACATTTTAAATTATTGTATCTTTTCTTTCAATTACAAATTGATCGTGTTATTTTTAGTTGGTTGAAAATTGTCACTTTATGCCACTTTCAAAATGTTTCTCAACGCTTTTTGCTTTTCATGCAACGGCATGGCCGTCTGGTCTCGCTTTTCAACCGCAGTGCAAGTGTTGTTTGTGGTCACGTGTTTCGTGACGCCAGCTGGTACTGCGCAGAGCGAGTACGGTGTACTCGAGAAGCCCACCCATCTCTTTTCACTATGGGAATAACGGGAGTGAAACAATATTGTGGTGAACGTGCGAACGGAAGTCGCACTCTGGGATGTTGCTCCCGCATTACTGCGATCGTTTATTATTTGGCACGTCCTCGTTACTTGGCGATAATTGTTCAATCAGAACCAAAACAAAAGGAGATTGATAATTTTATTTCGATAATATACTTTCTACATAAAAAACAAATATTTGTCAACAAAAAGTTGTAAACCATGCTGGTAACAGAGTCTTTTCAATAATTTAAATATAAATTATACCATATACGGACGTTAGGTGACCCATAACGGGTTTTCTTGGGATAAATTATTCAGGACGGTTTCCCGTTACCTTCCCTGATATGATGTTTCAACAACCACTGTATTATCGAAAATTAAAACAAAAAACATTACAAAAGTACAATATTGATAGAACTGAATAATGACATCTGTTCTAAAACAGAGATCCTTAAATAAGCTTTCATTGTATTTTTTGAAAATTAAAAAAAAACTTTTATGTATTTTTTTTCTTGAAATCAACGCGTGTTCTTCGGTCCTATTTTTGGGGAAAACGTAACATTTTTACTTTCTCGTATATCTTCTTTGGCCCTATCTTCCATATACGGAAGTTAGGTGACCCATAACGAGTTTTCTTGGGATAAATTATTCAGGGCGGTTTCCCGTTACCTTCCCTGATATGATGATGATGATGATGATGATAGGGGGTGAAAGGACGAACACAATACAAGCATGCCCGAGGCGGGACTCGAACCCGCAATCTTTCGGTACGAGATCACTATGGCACTCCTGCCTTAGCGATCTCGGCCACCGGATCGGCTTCTTGTAGGCACGTCTTCGAAAATCTAATATCCAATGAAGGTTCTCAATGATTAAAAAGTTTTCAGTGTAAAAGAGCTTCGAATTTCGCTTTTGCAGTAAAGCTGAAAATACATTTTCTTAAGAATAGCTCCAAATTTTTATATCAAAATGTTTATATAGAACGAGGTTTTACTCTTCTTTAATATTCTTAAAGTAATATTTCGGTTCTAGTTTTAAGAAACCGAAAAATTAAGAATTAAAAAGAAATGTAATTTGGGCAGTGATAGTTGGCAGCAGGCAAGAATGTGGTGCAAGATCGAAAAGCTAACGCAGACTTGAGAAATGAGAAAACTAGTATGAGCAAGTCTGTGCCATTCTATAAATATTTCTAAGAAATCTTCTCAGAGTTCGCTTTGATACATCATGCACTCCAGATTTGAAAATCAAGGGTGTAAATTTCTGTGATTTTTGACTTCTTCAATGCAACTTATTTCTCGTTGAATTCTTGGTGAAGCAATAATTTTTTCTGTCACATTTTCCCGCTCTTTTATTGTCTAAGGTGACAAGCGCCTACAAGTTTTTACTGATATTTTGAACTGTTGACTGCGAAACTTCTGCCACACATGCAATTGCTTATGGTGTATATTTACAATGTCGAATAAATATGGAAATTCGTTCTTTTTGTTCGTGGTGTGAGATCCAAAATTTTTCTCAAGACTACTGAAACCACTTTTTTCGGTTAGGTTAATTATTAATAGTCTTAAATCGTAGAGTTTATGCTACAGATCCACTCTGTAGCATGACTTTATGAAATACACATGCTTACCTTAAAAACAATTCCGTACAGAACGAAAATTTATACCTTACTTCAACAAATAACCACGCGTCTATTGAGCGCACTAGGTAAAAATGGTAACGGAATCGTTTGAATGACATGTTAGGCAGTGTTGCTACTGTCAATAAAGTTACAAAACATAAAAACTTTAAAACCAGTATTATTACTTTAAACGTTGCAACAATGAAATAGTTAGTGAATAGTGAATATTTGAGTATAATAACTTGGCCACCCACTGTATATCATCTGTGCGGGTGTGTTATGCAGGCGTATTATTCAACAAAGAAAATGAAACTAGTCAGAAACGTTAGCTATGCATTCTATTCTGATTGAAATCAGAACAATCGAAGTGGCAGTATAAAAATTAGAGAAAGGAAAAGAACATAAAAATAAGAGGGAGAAAAAGTATGAATATTAAAAGGAATATGAGAATGATGGTATGGATTAGATTTGTTTATGTACATACAATTTAGACATTTGATTGCTTGCATTTTATTAAAAACATAATTAAGCCTACAAGGATTCCATAATTTTCAGTACATTCGTTCGTGTATTTATGATTTATCTGGTGTCAATCTCTAAGAAGATGACAGTAAGAATAATTGTTGACATGTAGATCAATGAAATAGGAGTGTACGTTTATACGCCTGTGCAATTATTTAAGAAATATTTGCAAACTCTAAAACTACAATAATCCTCTTATTCAAGATATATTTGATTGTGATGTAATAGGTAAAAAAGTCAGTTCTGCAAGACGTTTCCTTCCACAGTTTAACCTTCTTTTTTTTGATCTCCCTGGCATGTTTTCACTATCTCTCTACTTCCTTTACTGTCTCACTCTCCCGCCTACTCACTAACGTCCTCGCCCTCAGCGTAGCAAGCGCGGGTGGCTTGGATGCCGGGGCAGATGAGAAGAAACCGACCATCTGGGAAACTGAGGGAGACCAGTCAACGTTGACAAATGGATGTTAGGGGACGTCGTACTCATACGTAGTTTCATGTGGAACGTTTTTAGAGTTAGTCTTGTGATGGAGTTAAGAGGCAAATAGAGTAAATGGCACTGATCAGTTGAATTTTAGTAAATGAAGTAACAATAATTTTGTTGAAAATGCTACGATACACATACATGAAGAGAAAAGTACGAGAATTGGCAGTAAAAACTTGTTTCAAACTTAAAATTATGAACCGTGATTTGTTGATATAATCGATGGAAGACAGACAAACATAGAAAAATGCAGAAAAGTGGGAATAGTTGCACTCTTTCTTCGAACTGTGAACTGGAGACTAAGAACAAAATGCAACTACCGTGTGTCCCGTGTGATGCAATGACTTCGGACTCCGCAAATCCCGCGAAGCACAGGAATCAGGCAAACGCCCGGGAAAGAGATCGAACGCACAGGTAAATGTGAAATCGATTAGAACGTTATGACGTAGTAGGACCATGCACCTCAACCTTTGACATTTCGAATGTTATCCTGTTATTAGACGCATGAAAAGTCATATTTTTACTTTTATATAAAAACCAAATTAACTTGCAATTTGGAACTTCGTCCTTAATTGTAATTAACAAGGGAGGGATCCTTGTTTTGATATTTGTTCTGCTCTATTCATAAACCAAGATGATACCAAATTTATAGCTATCATTCATACATAATTTGCAATTAAAAATATGAATTATTGGGATTTTTGGAAAGATGTCTCACCAAAAAGGGAACAATTCCTTTCATTCGTTTTCCAATTAATTGTTCACTTCAATGCATTTTTCATTTTTTATGACCCCTTTATTATAAAATTACCTGGAGGCATTCAAATTTTTATTCCAAAATATTTATTAAATTATTACTGGCCTGAACCAAATTTTTTTATCTTCCAAAAATAAAACCACGTTGAACTTACATTACTAACAATATATAGGTACTTATTTTTTATTTTAAAGGAAGGAAAATTGTTGAAGCGAGTCAAAATGCAATTGCTTTGTAGTTTTATTATGAATATCATTTTACACCCTGAAAAATACACAAATTTAGACATTTTTATTTTCATGAATTTGTACTAAAATTATAAAATTGCAGTGAACATAAAGTCAAAATATATTTCTACAGTCAAAACATTCTAAATTCATAAATTTACACTTACACATTCACATTTCACATGAATCACAGGAAATAGGATGTTTTCTCTAACAAGTGAATATTTATGATTCACATAATTATGGTGAAACAGGAAACAGTCATAGACAATGAATTGTAATTTAATTTTTTACAGTGAATTGTGATTTAATTAAAAACAGTTTTCACTATGCCATTTTACTTTTTAGAATATTGCAAAGAATGTTGGACATTAACAACTTTTGATTGAACAGTTTTCTACCAATACAACTTGGAAACTTATATAGGAAGAATGTTTCTGGCTGATCTGCTCTACAACCACTTGTGAAAATGCAAATACAATCATATTTCCAAATTTGTCTCTTAGTAGTAGGGGTACTGATCGTGTACATAAGATTAAAGCCAAATAAAATGATCTCTATTTCCTACAAATTATTTTCTAAATCATGATATCTCAAATAATAGCAGCTATAATTTTGGGTTAACATAAAATGCAAGATAAGGATCTCAGTAAACAAATATCACAATCTTTCCCAGTAAGGAAGAAAAATATAAAATATTACTTTTTGAGATGTATGAGTCAGTTACTATATTTGAAAATACTTGACTTAAAGTGAATATTGTTTTGAATGAGTTGAATATGTAAGTCTCAATAATTATCACTCTTTTTTCCTGCCTGAAATTACATTAAACTATCTTACTAATTAAAGGGATGGACTGTAATAAAGCTCCAGGAATTGACAAAATATCTATTTTCTATATTAAATACAATAAGTAAAGTATTTAAAAAATTCATCTCACAAAAATTAAATAGCTTCCTGGAAAAATATCAAATAATAGACAGAAATCAATTTGCATATCAATAAAATAATAGCACCATATACTTATTAGAAAATTTGGTAGATGCTATTAATGAAAAATTACACAAGGGAATGCATGTAATAGCATTATGTATTAACTTCTCAAAAGCGTATGATATGATTGACCATGATAAAATGTGGGATGCACGGGAAAGCATAGGATTAAAAGGTAATGTTTACAGTTATTCAAAAATTATCTAGAAGGGAGATCATTTAGAGTTAAAAAGGAGAACACTTATAGTGAAACAAAAATTGTGAAAAGGGGAATTCCACAAGCAAGTTCTCTGGGCCAATCCTCTACCTAATATTCGTGAATGACTTAAAAACCATCAATTGTATTTTTTAATTCTATAATTAAAGTTATATTTCCAGTATCTTTGTAGTATGTTTTATTTACTTCCTATTAAAATGTCATGTAAATAAAAAGGTTTACTGGAGAAGGGGGATCAGAAATGGGCTCAGAAATGTTGATGACTCTCTGTTTTTGGCTGTGCACACCTCAGAAACCATTCGCGTATCTTCAAAAATTACTAATGAAAAGATCATAAAAGAACAAATTTTTCTATCATTAAAATAGCAGGAAATTGAGATGCCTGATTCAAAACTTTAGTTATTTAGAGTTATGTTATTTCTACACAATAATCTTTATTTCCATTATTTCATAAAATACAAGTCCACTGCAATACATATTGTTAACTCATGGGTACTATAAATATGTATTTAAAATATATACATGGATCAAATTTAAAATAATATTTTTCCTATTTATTAAAATAATTCTGAATTACAAATTCAATTATACTTTCAAAAATGCAATTCACTGTGTACTGTAGCTGGTGTTGTTCCCATTTCTTTCACTTTCTTACAAATGGGCTTGTTAATTGTTCATGAATTATTTTCTGTACCAGATATAGAAAAATTCATATAAAAGTTAAATTTTCCTGAATATCACAAGCATTATTTGTGTATAGGAGAATGAGTTAAATATATAGTACAAAAAGATAAATTCTGACACAAACTTTTCATATATTAATTAGTAAACTGGCATTTAGTATGGGATCTTCAAACTCTCTGTTCACTGTTTCTTAATAAATTAATAATTATTATGTTGTATATCGTGAACTCTGTAATACATTCCATTATACTTATATTGATTGCATAGTTTTATATAAGAAAAGTATTAATTAAATGTTAATATTTGTTATAGTGATTATTTTTTTTTAGAAATTTATTTAAATTTTTTTCTAAACTTGGAGATGCAGTTTGTAGTTCACTTACCAGTATGAGGATTACTTGAGAAAAATGTATGAAGAAAATATTACATTGATATCTTCGAGGAAACATAAGAACTAGTAGTTTAATGATAATAATAATAATAATAATAATAATAATAATAATAATAATAATAATAATAATAATAACAACAACAATAACAATAAAAATAATTTTTTCCTTTAGACTATTTCATAGGTTTCAGTCTAGGTCAATTTCCTAATTCCATATTAACAATTTAATTAACTTGTGATTACAATCTTGTTAAAAAATTATAATTACATCTATTTAAGTATTATAACATAAAATTTGTATTAAATTTTAGCAAGTATCAATAATTGTTTTTAAATAAGTTTTAAAAATTGTTTCTGTTTGCAGGCTTAATATTACACTAATATTATTAGTCTATAAATGTAGAGTGCTGCTATTGTCATTACTTTATTTTTCCCATAAGGCTCTTTTCTTCAGAATCATTATTCCCTCTATATATTTGCTTTACGTGTTCCTTCCTATATTTCAATTCCACATTGTAAGTGTAGGTGAATTATAGTATAGATCATTGTTAGGCCCTATATGAGACTTAGATATCATCAATTTCGAGAAGTTTTTCAATAGGAAACTGTTGGAACTTACTTTCCTACATACCTCTTCTACATGTCGATTGAAGGATAAGGTTTACCAATGTTAGAGATAAATTATATATATTACCAAGACATTCTGGCATTCTATTTGAAAATAGTTACCTTTAACATCAGCACTGTTGTTTGAATTGTGTATGTGATGTCTAAAACGAATTATGTGTGTTTTACTTGAACGAGTTTAGTTTATTGTCAGACAAATGTGTATATAAATAATGGAATCTGACATTTCACATTTCATAAGAAAATGCCATGTATTACAAGTACATAAAACAAGTTGCATAAACCATAAGATATAAGTGAATTATCAGTGTCATTTGTTGTCATTTTTTGTTTACTTAGAATATAAGGAAAACAGATAATGGAGGCCCCTTTTTGTGTTTTCAATGTAGATCCCTACTAATTGCTTCTATCAATGATTGTGTGCAATTTATTATATATCATAAATTAATTATTAATAGAGGGTGAAAATGTTATCAAAACCAGTTCAAATGAACAACTCAAGCTGGTAGATATGCTACTAATTTCATTGAATCTTTTCCCTCTCATTCAAGTGAACTCAACTTGCAAACTTTTGGTTTGGATTGGAGCAGGAAATCTGTCTTTAGTTACTGCAGAATCCATCGAACCAAGTGTAAATTACACAAAAACTACTCTTTTTTCAAAAAATTGTACATGATCATTTTTAATGAGATAATTTTGTCCTTCAGACTTTGTCTGAAGCAAAAATCTCAATCTACAATTTTATACTTTAAAAAACATTTTTGTGGAATTGCCTTGATATGGGCTGTGCAAATGACATCAAACATTCTATTGTTAGCATTAGTGTAAAGGACGTTTAAGAGAGTGGTGCAAGTCACATGTTTGGGAAAACACCAGAATTTTTCAAAATTTGTAAAAGTGCACTCTTTTGGAAGCATCCTCCAACATCTCTAATATTGAAGATGGAGATTTTTTAAGGGGGCAAATACACCTTATAACTTTAAAAATTCGATTTTTTATTTTTTTGCAATGCATTAATTATTTTGAAATATTTTGGTAAAAAAATATTTCAATATCTGCAATAGGTTTTGAGTTATCATTTAAAATGTATGTGCATCATGCATCTGCATCATGCATCTATTAGAGTAGAAAGGTAAGCAAAACTCATCAATCGAACTTTGACGCTTGTTTTCTTGAATTACAGTTCTTATGATCCGTTTCCCTTATAACTCCAAAACTAATCATGTTAGAGCTATGAAAGTTTTAGAACCAAGTTTTATCTACAATGCCATGCTAAATCATACACTTCAGTTTAATAGTTTTTGTGGTAAAAAATTATAAAACTGAAAAATACTCTTAATAATCACTATATTAATTTTGGATCAAATTAAAATTATTATTTATTCAGAGATTTAAATGATAAAGCCTAGTTTTGTACCTATGAGTATTTGCAACAAATCAAAAGAAGGAACTGGTAAAAATCTTCAAAATTATTTGAGTTATCAGGGAAAGTCTAAATCATTGCTATAAAAACTGGCT